GCGACTGCGTCAGTAACCATCCCAGGCCAGAAGTAGCCTATCCTCCGCAGGCGATCCCAAAGTTTGGGTCCAGGCTGATGAGCTCCGCATACGCCGTCATGCGCTTCGCGTATGGCCTCTTGCGCCTCTGCCTTTGAAAGACAGCGAAGCAACAAGCCATCATATGACCTCCGATACAACGTCTTAGTGGTTGAATCGTAGTAGAACCTCGAGGCACGCCGTCGGATAGACTCTCGTTCCTTCGTGTCTTCGGGCAATATGCCGTATAGGACGTAATCGATGATCGGGAGACGCCAGTCTTCCTGATCAGGCTGATCTGGTGTTTGATGAGTGGCGTTCGCCTCCGAGACGTCTTTTAGTCGAAAGAGTTTTCGGCTGGCGACTGTGACCCGTTGGGTCGTTCCCAAAGGCTGGGCCAAGTTGGCCGCCAGGGATGCGAGAGCATCCGCATGGGTGTTCTTTGAACAGAGCACGTGCTCAATACGGAAACTCTCGAGCAACTCTACTAGTCTGACAGCCGCTTTGTGGAGTGGGATGAGATCGTCGTTCCTGACTTCATACTCGCCGGTCATTTGCTTGATGATGAGTTGGGAGTCGCTATAAGCCTCCAAATGCTTGATCCCTAACTCTTTGGCCAACTCGAGCCCTGTGAGCAACGCGTTGTACTCAGTCACGTTGTTGGTGCACGGTTCCGTTAAGGAAAAGGCCCGGGGTAACACATGGCCATGCGGAGAGGTGAGGACCACCCCCACTCTTGCAGAGATAGAACCGCTCGCGCCTGCGCGAGATGCGCCGTCGAAGAACATTTGCCACACCTCAGGTGACGAAGTCACATTGGCTTAGGGAGGTTCATCTGGCAGATCTTCAAATAGATCGGTCTTCATCCCCAGCGGGTGACTAGCCATGAGATCGCAGATGGCCTGTCCCTTGACTGATTTCTGCGGCATGAAGTGTAATGCTACAGGTTGTGTCATGAAGACCCGAATGGGGTTCATCCAAGAAATGACATAAATTGTCTGGCCGACCAAGTAGTGCCGCATCTTTTGGATGGCGAACACCAAGGCTAGGCATTCCTTCTCGACCATTGGATATCGCTGTTCGGCGCCCTGTAAGGTTATGCTCAGGTAGTAGATGCCTTGCTCGTGGTCTGCATCGTCGTTTTGTGCCAAGAGGGCGCCTAGAGAATGTTCAATGGCCCGGATATATATGAGGAATGGCCTCCCTGAGATTGGCGCCGCAAGGACAGGCGGGTTTGAGAGATAAGCTTTGATCTCTTCAAAGGCCTTTTGGCATGGCTCGTCCCAGACGAAGGAGGTATCTTTCTTCATCAGCTTAGAGAAGGGTTGACATTTACCCGAGAGATTCGAGATGAATCTTCGGATATAAGCCAGTCGTCCTTAAAGGCCTCTTAGCTCTTTAAGATTTCGGGACGGCTGGAGCTCTTGAATAGCTGGCTCTGCTGCTCCCTTTTTGGACTGCGGCTCTTCGGCCTCCAGCCTCTTGATCATATTTTCGACTTGCTCGCCTTGGCGAACAAGCTCCTTCCAAGTCCGGGTCTCTACTGCCCTAATTTTGGACAAGATATGGATCGACAGTTTGTTGCGGCACATCTCAATCAGTGTCGACTCGGAAACTTGGTCCCGACAATGGACTGATCGATTCCGA